TTAAGGAGGTTCGGTAGTGTTAGCGGGGGGAAATCTCAGAGAGGCAAGGGGAGGGAGAGCGTCTGGCAACGTTGTGAATTTTTTCGGCTGCTGGCACGTCGTCTACTGTTGTTGTCGTCTACTGCTGTTGTCGTCGTCTACTGATGACAGTGTACTTATTTCTTCGGTTGAATTTTTTATAATTAAATTTTCAATTACAAAAGGAGTTTTTACTATTCATTACATTTCAAAGCGCGCTCCAAAAGCAGCGTTGCCAAGTCGTCTGCTGCGAGCACATTTTTGCTGTTTTTTAATAGAAATTTGTGGTAGGGCTCTCTAAAACTTTGACAAAATATTATTTTGACAATATTCTTTCATTTAAAAAAAAAAAAAAGCAAGTTCATTTAGCCTTTTTTTTTTTATGTGAAATTTAAGTGATTTCTCTATAAGCCTACATGTTAAAATGTTGTTTTTTCAGGTCAATATATCTTGAAAACGGTATGGTTAAACCCTTCAAAAATTTAGCTGTAATTTAAAAAAAATTATCACTACCGAACCTTCTTAAGTCGGCGCTTTTTTGAATGCACTTTAAGATAGAGCTTATAAAAAAATTAATTTTTAGTTATCAGTTTCTTTGACCGATCTGTCAATTAATCTTAGTAACTTTATATGTGTGGTAGAGTTCTGAACTGTAGCGTGTTAATAATTAACAGAAAATCTATATTGTAAATTTAGTTGTTATTGACCGTATAAACAGTAATGGCACCTACAGTAGAATGATACTAGCATCTGTACTAAAATTTAATTACTTTTATTAGTTAAGCCTTTTGAACTCAATAACTGCTTACGTTTACTACTAAATGTTGTAGAATTTATTTTACTTTTCTAATAAGTTAAAAAAACTCTTTGTTTCTTTTTTCTAAGCTAGCCTCACGCAATCTTTTTGTTACTTGACAAAGGAACAAATGATACTTCAGAGTCATGCATATTTGCATAGGGCATTGCTACGATTATATTACTTTTCAGTGCTATATCGATAGCTTATTACATCACTTATGATTGGTCTGACATTTGCCGCAGTAAATAACATGTTCCAAGCTTTTGTAACTACTACATTCAGTTACATATACATTTAGGAAATACGTACGATCTAGAGTATGTAAATTAAATATGCAGTACGGTGTATAGTTCCAAGCTTTTAAAATCAGAAAATTCAACATGACGAATGCTTCAGACTCCCGTAACACAACAACCAAGTAATATAACGTCGAAAAAATGTAACAACTTGCAAATATAGGAAAATCTCATTTGAATGCTTTTATATTTTTTAGGCCAAGACACAATGCGTCTTTAGTGTCTACATTATAATTTATTGTAGATCTAAAAATGTGTATTAAGGTAGTAGTTTAGTTAAACGACTAGACAATAAATTTTTCTAAGATTTCGCGTGTGGCTTGAGTTTGCTATAGTTCATCACGAGTCTAAATTTGGAGATGCCTAGCCGTGTAGTTTCAGAGATATTAAAGATTTACTATTGATTTTTTAACACGTGAGAGATAGGAAAGCGCCAGGTTTGGGGTAGGATTCGAAACGAAATCATTCATAACTCCTAAACGAAACGATCAATCTTTTTAAAAAAACGATTTGTTATAATTGATATTATAAATAAACTAAATACCAAGTCTCAAGAAGCCTAGCCGTACAGTTTTTGTATTTCAGCTTTCCAAAGTTAAAAACTATCGTGTAGTTGCGTGAGAGGGACAATGACAGTTGTACAGTAAAGAATGCATAACCTATGCATACTCTAAAGCGCAGTATGCCACACGATATACCTTACTGAACTACTACCTCAATATATTATAGTTATTAAGTACGTAGGCTAAACTAAAGTAATTAGTCAACAGCTTGTAAAGAATTCTTTATATAGGTATCAAAAGTATTACATTATTAAATATATGACGAATTCGTACTTACCAGCTTACTTTAATTTAATATTGCCCTGATACTATTTAATAATATTATTAATGCGTTAGAACTTTAATTTATCGTATAGGCTTCTACTTTTTTCATGAATTTATAATTGAAACGTATTTTCTGTTGTGACCTGAACGGCTGCTTACTCCCAAGTCATATTTAACACAATCAAATGAAAAACGCTACACAAATCGTTTGAATTTCTTTTTTTTTGCTACTTTTTTAATAAAAGATTTCGATAAAGCTTATAAAATAAAAACATAAGCCAGTCATTTAGTTATTGAGTCTTTTATTAATCTATTAAGTAACATAATTATAAAGATTAAAATATAATTATATGGATGAATTTCAGCGAGGGCAGAGGAATAGCCATGCCAAATCAAGTGAGGTCATGCCTACTTCTAAGCTATATTAAAGCGTTCACCGAAATCAAATTTGGTTTTATTACCTACCTGGACCAAATTATTTGCAATTTAATTTTATTGCCACTAAAAAGTTTGAAATCGTAATAATGAAAATAATCACAATTTATTTGCAGAAATCCTTGTGCAGCAATACTTTACACGCTTTTTATGCAGGATTATTCATTGTACAAAATGGCGGTTTTATATCGATATAAGATGACTACTTAATCTGTATATTTATTAATATACCGGATACTTATCAAGTAACACTGTGACATAACTATGTCGTAACAATTATTTCTGGGGACTTTTTGGCATCATACAATATTTTTTTATGAATCTGGCTCTAAAAACATAACGCGAATTACTTTATAGTATTATAAAACAAATAGAGACCATCGGAGCTTGTGTATAAAGAAATTACAAATCACAAGATCATACTTTTAATAAGAAGTGATATTGTTGATAAAATGTTACCGTCTCAGAAATACATTCAACTAACTCAAGCGATTTTCACAATACTATCAGCGATCTTTACAAAAACAAATCTAAACCTGGTATTCATAAAATAAACTAAGTTATTTTTATACTTTAAGTAATCCATTATTTTGATTGCAATTATGATATAAAGTAGGATAGACCATATTTTTTTAGTGATAAGAGTGTAACGATTATTTTTGAATTGTATATCAATAGATTTTTCATTTCCTTCCATTATATTTTATTTTTGTAAGTAAGAATTAACATGAACCGAATAAATTTGATACTTATGCTTCAGAGAATTGTTATTTTATATTTATAGGTTGTGTATTATTATTAACTCGTAAGTGACTCTTTATACAAGTGCACAGGCAATATGTGTAATAGTTTTGAAACTGTGATTTAAACTTTAAAAATTTTGAAAAATTACATATATTTTTTTTTTAAATCCACTGACTGTTCAATGTATTTATTTTCTTTAATGCTGCAATAAATTATATTGCTGGGTTATAAACTTTCATTCAGATAATATGTACATCAGTTGTATAATAAATCTAGACACCCAAAGTTTGAGAAAAGACGTTTAATATTTGATTTTGTATGAAATATTTTAAAGAAAAAGTTAGAAATGTTTGATCTTATAACATATTTTGATTTGCTGTACATCTTGTTTATAACACTTAAATATAATTGTTTTACATACATTTCGTAGAAAAACAGAATATTAGTGTGCTATGATAAAAAAGTTTTCAGAAATTTTTCTTAGCCATTTTATAACTTTATTATCCTTTTGTGAGGTGGTGCTAAGACTATTATTTTCTTAAAATGTTCAAGTATTTGCTGGTTAGAAACTTCGACACATTATCAATGTTTTTGACTCATCTTCCACTGGTGATACTAAGTCAACAAAACCTAATCTAATGTAAAATTCTCGATTATTTTTGTCTGTGACCGACATTGTTGTATGAACTCCAAAAGAACCTGAATAATAATTTTTTAGGAAAAGTTAAGAAACAATTTTTTATATTCTTATGTTTTTAATTGTCATGTAATTAATATCATTACCATTCGCCCTTAGAGCAGCTAAGATACATGTGATTAGCTGTTTGGAGACCGACAGGTCTGTAACTTCTGGTAATAATGTGCATATGATCTTGGATGGATACTGGCGGTATAATTGCTCTGGTACGTCAGGAACAAATGTGTGAAAATCTTTTATCGCTTCCTAAAAAAATATGAACGAAAGGATTAATGAAGTAATTGCAATAGTGTAAGATTAATTTTTTGTGACATAAATTTTAACTTACTTGTTCTTCCCGTGTAAAGTCGTTGCTTACATTTTTTAGAGGATACTTGAGCTGCATTTCAGGTATCCAGGATATTGCAAGTTTTTGATTGTACGACCTTACATCAATGGCAGTAAGAGCATATCCAACAACATTAGCCTCATCTTCAACCACCATGCAAATTTCTGGACTCAAAATTATAAATCCTCCGACAAGCCTGAGTATACAAATATTCATTGTTACTACCATTGTCATTATTATACAATTTATTTTTACAGTACAACATGTTTGTATGTTGTAACAAGTCTTTTTTTTACAACTTTCAACAAATTTGTATTTTTTGTATATCAATATAGATATGATGCACAATTATAATTACATTTATATGTCATCAAGCAGATATGCTTTTTAAAAAAGTTATAAGTTAAAAAGCTTGTTTTTAAATAATATACTAAATCTTTATTAGTAGGATGTAGAGTTCATTTTTATGAATCATATTGTGTTTTAAATTTTTCAGATTATAAACCACTTTTACGAGAAAAAGAGTTAAAATTTTCGTCAATTTTATAAGTTTCAACATATTTCAGTCGAGGTTTACTTACAAAAAAGTTAATGAGTATCTTAAAACTATTGAGACTCGTAACTAAAAAATTATAAGCAAATAACTGGCCATGGGTCGGGCACGACAATAGATCAATATTAAATACCCTTCCCTTTAACGTTTAGGAATGATTTCCAGTTTAAAAATGTTTAAAAACAAAAGAATATCGCTAAAGATTGTGTCTTTTACAGGGGTTAATACAATGATTTCAATTAATGGTACCGTAAGTGTGGTAATGTAGTTTCTCTTAAAAAAATTGTTTTAAAAGTCGGTTTAATTAATACAGTATAATATAAACTTTATTTTGTACGTAAAGTAGCATCATGTATTATGTATACCTCTAAATACAATTGTATGGATCTCGAGATAACCTAGACAGTCGTTGTACACATCAAAATTTTAATCACAAATAGTTGGATAAAATCAATCTTCATGGATTTTGTATTCTTTATGAACAATCGTATCGCATGTTATTTTATCAGGCAACGTAATCAGCACGTAGAAGTCAAGTTCCTACATATTTTAAGGTTAAAGTGTAAAAATTATTGTTTTTTGCACTTTATTACTTGAAAGAACTTATGATAAGAGAGACTTACAGCAAATTAGACGTCAGAATTTCATTGAGTATATAAAAATCTATGAAGAATTACATTATAAACAGAAAAAAAATTAATTGATATTATTGGTCGTTACTTGATGAAGATCTATTTCAAGGTAAATTAAATAATAATGGCTTGTTTGTAGTCGATCTTCACTTTACTTTCAGATAAGTCTTGATGTACACATGTCTGAGGAAGGTACTGTGTACCGAAACAGCTGTAACGTATTCATACGAATAAAGTAAAGTGAAGATCGACTACAAACAAGTCATTATTATTTAGTTTACCTAGAAAAAAAATTATTTTTTGTACTTCGGGGCGATTTGCTGCACCCTCTGTTGGAAAAATAGTGTTCGCTATATAAGCACCATTTGATCGGAGTAATCCTACAGTCACTCAGACTGCAAAATATCCCCAATGGCAATAGCACTTCTGTGACAAAAACTATCATTATGCCCCAGCAGGAACGAAGTTAACGTTTCCGTCTGCACAGCGTACGAGAACATCTTCTTTCCATCCGCGGGAACACAGAAAACTGTTTGCAACCCATAATTAGAAGTAAAAAAGCCTCAGATCATTTATGCGTCAACCTCGTACTTCACCTAAAATAAGACTCAGAAGATCAGTGGCTGTCTTTATTTTTACAGCTTTAAGTTGTAATGTACTATTTAATATGATTACAAAATCATGCTCTATTTTTTGGAACCCAATATCTTCTATTCTCTGACAGTGACACAATTATTTTTTTACCATTTGAAATTTGTATCTGGTCTGGATTTATTCATTGAAAGCACGACTACAAAATAATAAGGAAGATAAACACCATCAAGTTATTTAGTTATGAAAACACACATAAAAAGTTACAGGTTTTAATAAAAATCTTAATATCAATATGTAATAAGCAACTAAAAACATATAATTATAAAGATAAACTTAATATTAAACGTACGCTTCGATGTTTCTCATTGAGTTGCAATGGAATTTCGAACTGCAACGTTATATTCGAAAGTGTGAGGAATATAGTATATTACGTACCTAGGCCAGAAAGTGGGGCTACTATTGACCACGCTAATTTATCTAATGCGCGGTTAATATAGGTTAATACCCCACTTTTTGGCCGTGGCACATATACTTTTTTTCTTTACGACTCTGCCGAAAGTTTGACACAAAAATTCATATGATTTGTACTCCTCATTGTACTCATATTAATGATTCTTGTAACCTCTACCTCTGCACTGTATGCAGCGGCCACACTCCTATAATAGTCGATCATTTTATTGAGAAGTCAATTTATGCTGATGTTTTTTATTTATTCATGGAAAAACAAAAAAATAACCATCGCAGAAACTATCGATGATCTCGCGCTGTCAAAGCAACAGTGTCTGATCAGGGCATTCAATATATTACATATTTTATTTAAGCATAATGGTCATGCGACGTTATTTACCTATTCAATACACAAAGGTGAAAAAAATAACGTTCAAAAAATGAAATAGCTTACTACTATAACATTGTGATATGACGTGTATTATTTAGATATAGTTTTATACAAAAAAAATTAAAATAATTTCTTAACAAATCTTTGTTTTGCTTAGGTTATTTAAATACATCCAATGATTTCCTGTGTTGCATAAACTGTAAAGGTTATACGTCCGTTAGCCCTATATGTATATAATATATTGTAAGTGTCACCAAGACGCACAGCACAGCCTCCTCTTGCGGCATACAGAAATGCTCACCAGACAGCGCTCGTGATGTTGTTCAGATTCCAATAAAAGATGATAATGAAATTCATGTACCGTAAATAGTATCAACGCACATTATTTACGAACGGAATAAATATAATTTAAAATAAGTTTCAATACATCACTTACTTGTATAACCCCCTTTTTAAATTGCAGTGAACGTTTATATTTAATTTTATCTTAGAAAGAATCCATAGAAATGTATTCTCTTTCAATTCATTAAAAAAATTAAATGTGAAATAATTATGAATTCAATAAAATTACTATTATACTTTAAATGAATTCTCTTATAACTTTAAAAAAGTTTTATAAGAATTTATAAAATACTTGCAAACTTAGCAGGTTATTTTTAGTTTATTAGCATGTATTTTGACACGAAGTCAGAGGGTGTCATTAAATAATTCAGAACATTTTCTGGCATAACCGAGTTTTAACGAGGAAAACATTTTCACGTTTGAAAGTAAATTTTAGACTTAGTTTGACGTTAGTGTTTGAAATCAATGACTGATAAAGAAAACTGTGACTAATACGTTTAAGCATACATCACATCGGAAAGATATCACAATTTTTTTTTAAATAACTCAATTGTATAGTAAAATCAATAAGTATATCGAGCTTTTTGATGATTTGTACAAGGTATTATTCTGGCACAGATAACAAGATTTCTACCTTTTTCCTCGATTATAAAAAATTCAAGCTATAATCTTGGTTTGTAATGAACTTATCAGATTGTTTTTTTTTTTTAATGTAAAGTTTCTCAAAAAAATATTTCCTTATTAAATTATCAAAATGTTAAGAGTTTAGGCAAAGAAGTATCTAAATAAAGAGAAATTCATGAAAAATTAGACAAGAATACTGTATGAGCGTGCTACTTCCGAAGAGTTATTTCAAATTTTTAATTAATTCCAAAAGTGTGTTATCTTCATTCAAGAGTGGANTATTATTATTATTATTATTATTATTATTTTTATTATTATGATTATTATTATTATTATCATGATACAATTAAGCTTCGACAGAAAATTTGACCGCTACTAACTCAAAAAGATAGAAAGGCAAACCTCTTACAATTTGGGACACTTGTTTATGTTAGTAATAGCAACATTTTCTGAACATGTGACGCTTGCAAATAATTTCATTTTTGAGTTGTTAAATGTTAAAAAAACTCGCTATTTCAACTTCAAACGCTATTTGTGAGTAAACAATGAAAAAATATTGCTGCACATCTTATTTTATTGATAATTAAACCCTCTACAAGTTGATTGATTGAACGTATTATTGACTGAACGTACCGACTGATTTATCGGAGAGAAGATGTGACAAAAAAAAAAGAAAAACCTTAACTTTCTCGCTTTACTGTTGATAAAAAGTTAAGCAGAGGCTTGATTTTTTCACGAACTTGGAACATTGTAACATGCATGTAAATGAACCGATTTCTGCAGAAAAACTGGATTGAGGCAAAAAATGCCATTTTACCTACTTTTTCGGTCTGACGTCCTGGATAGTAAATAACTTTGATATTATAGTGTTAAAATAAGTATGGCTACAGAAAAACCAATGGACAAGTATGCAAAGTAAGATGTCAAAAAGTGATGAGAGAAAATTTGTAGCAGAAATATGATATCACAAAAATGGTGGAGAAAAAGGAGGAATTGTCACAGGAATTGATAAGAAGTTAGAAATTAAAACAATGGCGGTAATTGATTTTCTGTTTAGTATCTCCTTGTTTTCAAAGTCCATCTCAGTGATCTATTCACCTTCTTTGCCTACTCTCGCGTCCAGTCTATCGCTAGTAGATAGCACTTCCATTTTCCTGCGTTCCTATATTTTCTTTTATAATGTTCATCGTCACATCTTAACGGTATATCCCTACAATTTTTCACTCTTGTTTTCTATGTTAAATTTCTTGCGTTACTATATAATTGACATATCTACAATCGGTGAATTAAGCTCAAAGACAGTTAAAAGTATGGAAGCATGAAAAAATAAAGTGGTATGACGAAGAATGAAAAGCAAAAAAGGAGCTGAAAAAAAAGTTTCAACTATAGAGGAAAAAGAAAGAAAAAAATCTTAAAAAAACAAGTAAAGAGAGTATAAAAACTAGTGCAAAGCAAAAAAAAAAGATATAAAAGAAATGCGGAAACTGAGGAAAGCACCAGAAGAAGATACACTGGAGAACAGCGTGTGAAAATATATGCTAAAAGAAGTAGATACAGCGATGTGGGAACTATTGAAGACAGTATGGGAAGAAGGTTGGATACCTTTATAGTGG